TGCCGAGTACCCCCACCCCCAACCACTACTGAAAGAAGTCCAAATCCTTCCATGACATTGCTGTGGATTTGTATGGTTGTCCAGGTTGGCAAGACAAAGAATTAACCATAGGTTAAGAGTAGATTTAATTTTTATTATGTAGAAAATTCCCAAAATGGCCTTACTCCTTGAGCTAGATTGTGATTTGTGACAATGACATTTATACTCCTTGCCAGCTAGGGAGGTTGGTGACGGTTACAGCTTTAGAAAGGGTGACAGAGGAAAACTGGCCACTGGGATTTTCAGAGTGGTTGGAAGGCATAGCAATCAGCAACAACAAGTAGTCCTCAGCTTAGTAGGGCTGGGAATGGCATTATCCAGAAGAGAGGGGCAGTTCATCAGGAATAAGCAGCCAACCAAGCCTGAGGGCCGGGTGGAACCACAGTCAAGGGGACTCACACCAAGGCAGGAGTCCTGGTAGAGACAGAAAAAGAGTCTTGATTTTCCAGGAACTGAAGAACCTGAGATGAAGAACCTCAACCTACTGTATTAAAAACTAACTTCCAAGGGCTCCTGGGTGGCTCAGTTGGTTAACCGTTTGACTTCGGCTCAGGTCATGATCTCACGGTTTGTGGGTTTGAGCCCCGCGTCGGGCTCTGTGCTGACCGCTCGGAGCCTGGAGCCTGCTTGGCATTCTGTGTCTCCCTCTCTCTCTGCCCCTCCCCCACTCATGCTCTGTCTCTCTGTCTCTCTCTCAAAAAGTGAATAAACATTAAAAAAAATTAAAAAAAATAACTAAAATCCATAAAGTCATCAAGCAGGCACGAATACTTGTCTAGATAATTAATCTTGGAGGAGAAGTCAGTCTGAAGGAGAATGAAGACAGAGATCCTGGAAAACAACTCAAGTTTGTGTGCCCATATTTTGTGTATAATCCACACGCTGAATTCTTTTACTCTGAGTGAAATTAACTTGCTCTTCAAATACTGGACAAGTGTCATAAACTGAAAGAGTCTTTGTGAGGAGCCAGCACAGGCAGAGAAAGGAAATATAAATTCCAGGGACTTGGGGGCACCTGGGTGGCTAGGCGGTTAAGCGTCTGACTTTGGCTCAGGTCACGATCTTGTGGTTTGTGAGTTAGAGTTCGGCATTGGGCTCTCTGTGGTTGGCACAGATGCTGCTTGAGATCCTCTGTCTCCTTCTCTCTCTGCCCATCTTCCGCTCTCTCTCTCTCAAAAATAAATAAACATTAAAAAAATAAATTCCAGG